TTACAAAATGTACATCAAGGCTGCTTTTTTGCCAGTGTAACCGGCAGGTGGTTCTGTGTAGCAAGAGCCTGCCGCCAAACCCTATCTAGCTGCACAGAGGGCACCCTTCCAGTACAACATGGTTTCCTCCGGTTTTCCAACCTTGAAGGTAATACATTACTTTTCCTTTGGAAAAATAATTAATCTTTTTAGGAACCAGAAGACATGGAGGTTTCAAGAGCAATTTAATGGTTTCATTGAGAATTTAGTTTTGTGAATTAACGTTGAAATAATAATAGGCCCGCAGCAGTTTTTGACGGATGACTGTCAGAGTCATAATGATGTTTACCGTCTTCAACCATGATTAATTTATGTCACCGCTTTTTTTATAACTGTGCAAAACTAAAGGATTTGGTTTGTGCGAAGACCATCAATAGAAATGCTCTGGGGTAAAACAGTGATGGGTCGACGATGGAAAATTGGCAACTCATATGATTTTTCACTTTCATTCTTTTAGATTGGAAGGTATCGAGACGGGTGTCGTATGCCCAGTGGATCAACCTAGTTATATCCAAATGCATGTTTATGCTTTCGTCTACTAGATATCATCAGGAATAACCTACAACATCATGAAAGTGGCTCTCCCACTATGCACAGACGTAAAGTATTGAGCGCACTTTTGGCCGATAAATGTGACTCGAATGCCAGCCATTCATGGACAGTTATGTGGTGGAATATAACCCAGGGATAGCAAGCTACCGATTATGTTGCATCTGAGGCCCATCACTTCACTAACTTTTCGAAGTTTAAAGCATAACTGGATAACAAAATCGTTCTCCTCTTACGATGCCACCTCAAACTGCAAGTTATTGACTTACTTAACGTTTAGGCAGTTTGCAGCGACTTGGTCTTGATTTAATCTCGGACAGTAAGCCTGCTAGATTGGCAAAGAACGAAGTCCAAAGGAAGAACGAAAATTACTTTTAGGCTAAGTGAATTCTGAAACAGTCTTTGTGCTACAGGCTCATTTGCAGAATAACTATAATCAGGGATTTGTTCGACTTTCATATTGAAGCAATCTCAAATTGTGAATAAATGATTACTTCATTACTAAGTTATGTCAAAATAGCCTTGTTGTGTATCGGCGGGACTCTAAGCATCATTAGACCAGGAGACTTATAATGTTGCTTCAAATGACCATATTTCACGTCAGTTTACTTCGAGTTTAGCTTCGTCCAAATATAGGCTGTCCATTGCAGCAGAAATCTAATCGATGGAATCTATGTTACCTGTTATTTAGTCTACCCCGTCAAATTCAATGTAAGTCCCGTACATCTCTGCTACCAACATTCCCATGGGTAGACTAAATGTTGGTTTAGCCTGACACAGTTGTTGACTAAATCCCAACATACCCATAGCTTCGTCCACACGACAGTATCGTTTTTTCCGGTGTTCTGACAAATTTTGTCGCTACGGACGCGCGCGCGCACACACAAACGTATACCATTTCCAATCTGCGACGGCCGGCCTAGCTGGGTATTGTGTGTCCACCATTTATCTGCTTCTAACCGTGTTTGCTCAACAAATATGATTGTTTTTACAGAAGCGGAACCGTGTGGCATACGGATCAATTCTGAGTCCTACTGGGAAACGTACGTGAAACATTGTTCTTGAGTTCAATGAAACTAACTAATGGACCCAGTAGATATTTACTGTTCCTAACGACTCACACAGTACTGTATTTCCTTTCATTGTCGTTCCGCTTATTTTCCTGAAATTGGTGAGGTACCAGCCAGTTGAGTTCGTTGTAAACACTGGCCTCCGAACAGCAATCACAGTTGGAGCAAGAACGATACGTTGATAGACTGCAGTTAACCTAATGGTGCATGCTAACTACACATGCTACACACAGTGACAGAGAGACAGAGAGTGACCCTCAGCAGTTATTCCAAGTCGCCCTTTTACTTTTATCAAAATGCGATATTCTGAATGGTACTGAAAGAAGGATATTTTCCACACCTGCTTCTCTAAGTTTACTCTATGCAGTGATGACTAAAAAAGGTAAAAATCTTACAAACTTCTTCGCTCTAGAAAAGTGCGCGATACTCCGGGTTAAATCGAGACGAGTAAACTGATTTAGGTTGCAGCAGACTGTCTGCAAAGAACAGTAGTCAACTTCTGTCTATTGAGGTTACGCGTCTCCTGGAAGAACCTTGGGGAGAACCTTTGTTACAGATTGTTTATGCAAATAAAATGTGTGGGTAGGGTTGGTAAAATTTATACTCTTCAAGTATCTGTGAAACAAATTTAAATGGCCTTTCTATGAACAGTAAAACGCACGTTGGTTGGTATGGGATAACCAACTAAAAAGAACTACGCAAAGTGGAAAACAACTGTGTGTGACCCTGCGACTTAGCTCACACTACTTTCATTAGTTAAGGATATTTAGCACGGCCGGAAAATATCTTTTATGTACAAATGCAGAAAAATTAACCCCCTGTCTACGAAAAAACAAATTTTTAAGTAAATGGTAGTTTGGAGTCACACAAAGTTGGTCGATTATTCATACCCAAACTAGTTAAACTACTGACAGAAATTATAGAGTAATCCGACCTGGAAACCCGAGACTTGAGTTTACAGCTACCAATACATAAGCACCTTGTGAAAGGACGACGAAATCCATGAGTAATAGAGAAAAATGGTAGACGCTTTACAGAGGTAAAATAACATATTCTGACTTTCAGTGCTACTGAGAAAAGTTAGTGAAAACTTCCACTGCCAGTTTTGTCCTGCCAAAGCCCAGTTGATAGCCTAGTCTCTTGGGTTTCAGTTCTGTGTTCTGCCAAAGAGTGCGCCCTTAGCCAAGCCTACGCTAATCACACTACTCTCTTCATACGGCTTCCACATGATTTTATCCTCTTCACTGATACTCACGGCTGACATAACATACTTAAGCAGAGTCAAGTAAAAGAATTTAGTAGAAATATTGTGTTCTGCCAAAGAGTGCGCCCTTAGCGAAGCCTACACTAATCACACTACTCTTTTCATACGGCTCCCACATGATTTTATCCTCTTCACTGCTACTCATAGCTGACATAACAAACTTAAGAAGAGTCAAGTAAAAGAATTTAGTAGAAATATATCTACATACTTAACTTCCAGAAACTAACATAACTTGGTCATAAAATGCGTGAATACCTTTTTGATACAACCATACAAACTGATGTCGGTCACACATACAGTTTACTGACTCTTAGAATTTTAACTTGGATCCCTGTATTCAGATCTCGAGTTCAAAATTTCGGGCCAAATAAGCCCTTTTGTCTGTGCAATAAACGGTCTTTTTGACGCGGCGATGCGATAGCAACGGGTCGTTTCTTTATGACTGCCTAAAAGTAGCTTGTGTTCGATTCGTGAGAGGATTTGCTTATTGGGTCCATCGATCAGTCTATGCAAATTAGATTAGACCTGAGTTAGGCTACCTTTCAGGCAAAATCGTTCTCGGTTGATCGATTCATACCGCCCTGGTCGCTCTGCTCAACAAATGATTCAACTTTCTAATAAGCTAATCCACTTCAAACTAACCAGTAGATGAGTAGGTTCTCATAGAGGTCCTAGGATTATTACAAAACCAAACGTGCGAACTAAACGACATAGTTATTTATGTCACTATTTCTAATGATAAATAAGTGGACTATTTCCGGGTAAGCACCAGACATTTTTCGACTCCTATAAGCTCAGTACGAGTTCTCATTACGCCCATTATCTTCGATTTTCGAAACCGTTTTTCTCACAATTGCAAGATTACTAGCCCGTGAGAATAGGAAAATCACTGAGCTAAGCCCATTTGGAATACTGAATAAACATTGCATGAAAAATAACGAGGGAATCATCCGTATTGCCGCTTGTCTTTTTTAGTTCTATTGATGTCAAAATAATCAGAAACGATTCAAAATCAAACGCACGTAGAAAAATGATTACGTCTGGCTATATCCGACACCATGAAGCATTTTTTAAATAAATCAGGAGACGCTGGACAATAGGTCCTCATACTTACGCACCCGACAGAAGTATAGTAGTATTTGTCCCTAAACTTATCATACTAAGGAGATTGTGATTACTCTCCGGCTGACGTGGATTAAAGCAATAGATGAGTAGTTCACTCCAGAACTTTCAAGCTTGCTCATAGTCACTTCGAACGACTGCTTGCTTTTGAATCCGTCAGGAAGTTAGGGAAAAACTTTTCTACTGAGGATAATGAAAGAGATAGCAAGGTTTCAGCCATAGAACAGTTCTAAAATGGTTGGGAAGAGTCACCAAATACATGCGATGGATTACTTCAAGCTGAAAAACCCAGAAATGATTACTAAGTGCAGTTTAGATGATTTTCAGTCAGAACAGTTCCAAAAAATGTGGAAAAATCCGGAAGCATTTCAAACACTGACCGTACTTGTTTGATGTAGGTTGAAGAACTTACGTCCCTCAAGTTAAGCTTGCATTCATTATGCGACTTGGCACGCAGAACCTTATCCTAGTTGAAATAGTTTTTCGGTAAAAACAGACCACCTCAATTTTGCTCGTTCTGTCTTCTTTGTGCTCCGCGGGCAACCATGTACGAAAATGACTGCCTGAAAAGAAACAATATTGTAATCCATCGAGTGAACCTCGATTTTATCGCGGTTAACCGGAGTGACTAGAGATCGGACCAATGCGATTAAATATCGCCTTGATTTGTTTTCACCGAGTAACCAAGAAAAATATCGGGTAAAACAATAAACAAAACGGAGTCAGTACACTGGTCGTTAGCTACTGACTTTTATCCAGGTGTTGATTACCGATAATTGGTGAAGTATGTAGTCTGTAACCGGTCATTCATAAGATTAAATTACAAACGGGTGATGTCCACTTTCATTATTGAGACATGTTTACCTAAAATAATTAAGCTCTCTTTTAGCGTGCAAATTACTTGGCATACCTCGAGGGTAATTTAAGTGAACAAAAGAACTCCCGTTATTCTTGCGCAGAAAGTTCATTATTAAAATTTTACACGGAGTATGCCAATGTTCGTCAGTTTTTGAGGTATTTAAGTATAAATTCAAATGCAACATAATCTGTCCTTGGCGCTGGAAACTTTTGTTCGTTCGTTGCAAATCAGGTTCCTTTCTGGTTTACTTCGACTTCTTGGTGTACTCCAAAACGAAATTTACATCGCCCGACAGTTTCAATTTTTAAGAATTTGGATCCGTTGGGTTTGGTTTCTATTCGAACGTGTGAGTTTGACGGTGAAAAGGATCCTCGGTCAGACAGCTCCTTTTCAATAATGCTAGCCAAGTCGCCTTCGACGTATTTGATGAATGCATTATTGTGCGCCGCGTCGTAAAACACAGCCCGTATACGGCCATGTAGCACAGAAGTTAGGCGAAACTGTGTTGTAATCTCTTCCTCAGCCACTTTTACCTGTTGAACGAAAAGAAAAGTAGCGGATGTTTGAACCAAATGATGGAACGCATAACCTCATACGAAACTTGCCAGAATGCCCACTTAAGGGCGTCTTCATAACCAATTTCAGTGCTAAACGAAGCTTTCGTCATCTTGGCGCCCAAACGGGGTTTTCTGCTTTCTTTGAAAGAAGTTGCTTAAGTTCTGATAGAATCTCCTTTTGTGTCAAGACTGGTAACTGAGTTCGCTACCGAGACGCTTCTAATATTTCGTAGGTCCAACTATATTACTTCTAGAAGGAATTTCATTCACAGCGTTTGATCATCAAAACTGCTAATTTATCCTACTCATTTGAAAACAAGTCGATTAAGCCTTTTACTTTGACATAATCTTAGTTCCCCAAACTTGACCGGCCAACTACCTTGTCTTCATAAATTCATTGTGATCATTCAACAAAAAGATGCGAGTTTCAGTCACAGTTACTGCACTTAACAGAACTAGACTTCGCAGTCATCCCGGTACCTTAACCTCGACCGGCTGAAATTTGTGGTTAAACATTCTTTCAAATGCCCAGTGCGTATTTCAAATGAATATGCTCGCGCAGAGGGGCGGGCGATATATTTAGGTTGCGCGAGCTTTTGAACAGTGATAAAGTAACTGCGCTTAGTCAGGTAGTGTAACCGAACACATATATGCGTGGAATTCACAATTTGTGCTCATCTGCCGCCTGCAAAATGAAGTCATTTTTCCTGCAATATACAGCCTACCTGAAGATAATTCACTATAGGGGAGTGTCAACCGGCAGTGCACAGCTGGAGACACGTTAAACGGTACGATATAAGGTTGATGAAGCATTACTGGATAAAACCCCTCTTGTAAATACATTCTTTCAGCAGTGATGTCCTTGCTGGAAGAAGGAATTTCGCAACAGTAAAACGGGCACCAGGTTGTCGAAACCATGAACGATGGAGTTACGATTGGTATTTTGCAACAAATACTTCATAATCTCGGTAGTTTCTGTTTTCAAAATCGTACAAACATTTGAGTATAGTTCTAAGGAAGCTTATGGTTGCCAACAAACTCCAATCATTCTCCCTAAAAACTCAAACATTTAACAACCAACCATTTTGTCTGCCTCAGAAGCGTACTTGAAAGCGGCGGCTGTTGTTGGTGATTTGTATTATTATTTATTATAGTATACTTATTATTATTAAATTATATTATTATATATTAGGGTCATTATGCAAATGCTTATCAGGATAAGAAACGATAGCTGTGATCGTTGTGTTGCAAAAATGAGCACAAGCATGTTCGCCTGTTTGGACTTGAAAATGAAGACTGGTCCGAACTTTGCTAGTGGAGTGGTGGTACCGCGCCTGCATCGCGTGTGGTATGTGGAATGTTTGAACCCCGAAAGGCCAGAGATATGCACTTCTAATGAACTGTAATAAGAGCAAACCCCCCAGTCCAGTGTTTTGATGTGGACTCACAAGAATGATTACAGCACAGAAGATGATTGTTCAAACGGGAGCCATGTGAGTGTGCGTTCTAAATTCTCGCAACTACCAACAACTAAAACAAAAGTGTCCAGCAGGCTTCAGGCTTCTGTGGCGCTACCTGACTGAGGAGTCCTGATGGGTGGGGCAATCGATCAACACAACCAAGTTATACACCTGATATAAATTTAGTACATCTGGTAATAGATCTCTGTGACGCTCAAGCTCAGATTGTCGGGACTAGCAGTTTTACTTCAGGTTAACTATCGGTTTATTTGATTACTTCCCATTTTTCAGAAAATTTATCAGCAAATACGCCTATCTGCACACAAATTTGGTTTCCGTGGGAGGCTCATAAGATTACCCTGGAAACCGAATCGGCTTGCAGGTGAGTGCATTAGTCAAACCTCGCGCGATTTCGGTTCAAGCAGAACACAAGATTGATGAAATCTAAGAGAATGCGCCTACATGATACGGCCGGTTGTGGGTTGTCGAAAAGGTTCCAAAAATCTACCAGTATTTTTATTCGTCCTCAATACTGTGAAATGGTCGTCTATCAGTGGGAAAAACTTATGAAATCATGCGCAGTTATTCTTAGTAGAATTAGTTATTGGGCCAGTGTTCATTTTCAGATTGGTAGATTTACGTGGTCACAATTTCACTAACGTATCTTGCAAGGAAAACTTTTCCTAGACCGCTGGAAACAACACTTCTGTAGAATTCGGCTATGGAGTTTCAAACTACTGGGCACAAAATTTTTACGCAAACTTATATCTTGTCTTCACCCGAATTTGGTACATCATTCAATAGAACCGGTAACTGCCAGGTCAACAGGATACAATGAATAATTATTAAGGGTGGAATGACGCCAAGCAAGTAGTATCTCACAGGAGACCAGAGAGGATAATTGTGTTCAGTGAAACGTTGGAACGTAATCTTCTTTTGCGCAGCCACAGTAGTGTTTTCATGACTACAAACGGAAGACCACTTTGTGAGCCCATTCACCATGTTGGAACTAATTAACAATTCAAAGTGAATGACTTCTGAAGGGTTTGCAATTTACAGTTCAAGCGGTCCTAACACATCCTCAAACGAGCTCTCCAACGTAACGATTACGCGTAGATTAGTCAAAACCACCCGGTTCGTTCCGCGTCTAGTACAGCCACTTAATTGTTCCGTTGCAGGAATTATCACATCACTAGTATCTGACCACCGTGAGTTCTTGTATTTAGTCTTGACCGTTGGAGACAGAAAATATTAATCTATCCGCTTTACCCTTGCGTGAGTTTTGACTGGATCGCATCCAGTGTTGAACTCTACCGACATAAATATTCTGGCCGGGGAACCCCCGACAAACTATGTGCACTAAAAATCCGATTAAACGTGAAACTCAGCGGTTCCCCTCCTGCTATATCAGACGGCCGGTTAATGATTTACACTTATGTCTAGGTACTCAAGCAACTTCACAAAACAAAACAGAACTCCTTGTTGAGGTCGCTAACGTGGTGGGCGAAAGTTTTGAGTCAACGTCCTCAGTGTACATAAAGCTGGTTGAGTTGTTCTAGGAGTTTGTAGCTCTAGTGGATGATCAATTTTAAAGGATCTTATCACGTGAGAGTGGTGAAAAATTGCATGATGTCATTTGAATGACCACCTTTAAGTCATGCCTGGTAGGCTGCGAACAAAGTTTGTGGTACATTGACTGACATTTTTTGAGCCCTTGAATGATCCTCAGTGTGTGAAGCACCGGTCTGTTCCAACAACGGAAGTGTCACAACCGTTTCGGGTGGACTGATGACTAACGAGAGTAGCCGCATTCTAGGAGAAACGGAATTTGATGCCATTTAGTGTGCTCTCTTCGAATGGGCTGTGTCAGTTGCTGGGTAAATACGACCACTTCTGAAAGCAACATTTGTAGGCAACTGACAAAAGGCTGGGGAAATATGGTGCTTCGTAGTCATTAGACCAGTATGGCAATTAGTTCACTTCAATGGATCATACAGGCTTGTTTCTGGTAGAACACATAGGAGTGTCATTTTCCTGCTGAACTTCTTCTCATGAAGTATCGATAAAACTGGATTGTTACTATTTTAAAAATTTAGAAATAAACTGAAAAGTTTTTATCAGAATTGACCACAAGAATGCTATTGGCATAACATTCCCATAGAGTGCTGCACGCGGTGTCATCAGCTGATCTACTTCCTAGCGTATCTAGAAAGACGGCTACGTTTAAGGAAGTTGAAAAGTCTCGCTTGGAGACACCGTTGACTATAGAAAACAAAAAAATCGTCAAAAGTAAAAAGGAAAAAATTATCACAACATCTCATTGGCATCAGTTAAAATTCCAAACAACCCATATAGGAAACATTGGTGGATGGTGGTCCAGTGTTATTAGAAAATATTGGTTTGGAACTCACTATACCCCCAGCTGCCCGGATTTCAGAACAGTATTTTAACAGTCTGAGTTGTTTGCTGTCTTACATCACTTAATTAGGCTGAGAACATCCTAATCAAAGACAGAACTTTACATGTCATCGAACGCCGAGAACATTATATTTCTGGCAGTTGTATAGTTCATCGGCATCAATAGTGGTCACATTTGCGTCGACAGAACCGCTGGTCTTTTCATATAAATCGTCCAATCATCAAATTAAAGACATAGCACAGGGTCCCACAACTAGTCTTCGCAGGCTATCAAGTACATCAAACATCATCAGCCAATTCCTCTCTCCTCTCATGGGGAGTTTCTGAGCCACCTAATTACGATTGTGTACATTTTACGCATTACACAACTTACGAATTGTGAAATAAAATGGTATAAAAACTCATCATTTGTTCCCTCTCTTCAATACTCATAATTTTTTATTTATTCCAGTGGCAGGCACTTTTGATCAGTGAAACTCTATTGCTTTGCTCCACTTTGAAACTGCCTGGTGATGGTAAAAGTTGTTAGATGACATTCAGTGTCCGGTCTGCGACAACCGTTTGAATGTTGCCATCTACTGAAGTAAACTTCATTACCTCAAATCTTGAGCTGTTTCTATTATAAAAACTTTGGTCCCATGGTGTACTTGTTTCCATACGCGAATCTACAAAGAAGCTGAAGCGCATCATGAAGGCATTTTCAACCTTATTCGGCCTGATATTGATAGCACATGGATGGATTTTTTCAGAAACACTCAACATCAAGATGCAAGAGTTTTTACTTATAGGTCAGCAGGTACTCTTGCGATGTCGCATTTAAAGAGTAAATGACAGAACGTAGGTCGGGAAGGTTCACTTGCTCAGGTGTAACGCGAACGAGTTGGCACAATTGCGTAGAACAGTCAACGATATGCGAATAAAGATCGGCCAGAAACAGAACAGAATTGTCAATGACAAATTAAGAACAGAGAATATGGCATGTAGAGACAGCAATGAAAGGGTAATTCTACACAAGTGGTTGAAATTTCTGTAAAGGTTGATAATACCGAATAAGGCACTTTTTGCAAGCCTTTGCAAACAATGCATTCACTAGCACTGGCTTCATAGGACTCATTATGCGTTGGAATCCATAATTTTTTAGAGCAACGGGAAATTCTTCTACTTTGGTCCAGACCTTGAGGCGGCTTTTTGAGCAAAGGGACTAAATTCTCTCTGGATAGCAAATATTTACTTGGTATCCTTAATAACAGAGCACAGAGCACAGAGCACATACTCTTTTGCTGACTATAAGATAGTGTTTTAACTGTACTGATGATGTGACCTTTTAGATAACATCAAATCTTACCTCTGCAAAAGCTGAATGTCGAGGAGCTACCAAAATTCTTGTGTCTACACTCCAGGATAGTTCCTCTTCAGTACTTTGCCTGGTACACGAGTTCAGTGAAAGATCATGTTTGAATCCCGCGTTGGCCTCAAGAATGGCATTAGGTAGCTGTCCAGAGTGAATGGAAAAGAGATTATATTCTTGGGAACTTGGTGTGATTGGCTAAAACCAATGGTGATGAACGATGATAAACTTAAGAATATGTGCATTAGCCTAATAGTCTACTGGAATAAGAAAAATAATAACGATATAAATGGTTACAAAGCCCATGAACCTGGTCACCTAGGACCAACATCAGTATCAAGTTATCAGCCTGGAATCAAACCAAAGGTCCACAGCGAACCTGTAGCCAGTTATCGAGAACTCAGTTACAAACATTCTTGACTAGAGCAGGGAGTGGATATGAGCATCCCTATGTAACACGACGTCCTATATCGAGAAAAACGGTTGGCTTCAGCTGAGAGAATGGAACACAGTAAGGGTCCCAATCTTTGTTGATTAAAATAAGATATTGTTTCCCAGGGAGCTCAAGAAATTGGTCCTTGTAAGGTCTTATTCCTATTCCTTTAGAACCTTTTCAGGTTTAGAACTAGTTAATCATGTTTTTCTTTCAAGGTCATAGATTGTTTCCTAAACAAGCTTATTTTGAGGAATTGGCTTTGAATAATGCATTCATTTAAAGACATATATTAGGTTAATTGGAGGCTCTGTACAATGTCAGCTGAACATGTCATCTGCGACAAACTGCACCGTTCCCTTTGCAATGAGACGCTTAGGTCTAGATATAATTGGTAGTAACTCGGACACTGAGGCTTATGATGCGCTTTAAAAAAAAATAAAGCTGGATTGTTGAAACGTTATTGTCAACTTCTCAGGAAGCATTTTACCAGGAAAAACACTCTGATATTTCAATGTCGTGAGTCACCGCAATCATCCTCTGGTGCTAGTTTTATCTGTACGTCTTTATGGCGTTGGACAAGAGCTACATTGCACAGTTTTCTGTCTGCGAACCTTTTATCTATTTTCCTTTCTTGAAGAATTACACGGGGATTCCTCAGCGTTGCGGTACAGCTACAATGAGTAACTGGTAATTTGTTTACAAAAAGCTTTTGTATTTGTTGAGGACGGAGAACAATGTTAACTTCTCAATAACACCTGTGACTAAAGACAGTAGATCAACTTGGGCTATCTACGATTGGTAGGGATATCAAACAGTACTTGCTTATTCCAAAAATATTCAGTAGAAATTAGTCATTCTGCAATCGTAAAGTGACCTCAAACTCTTCAACTGAGTTTATCGAGTCCTCTTAGGCAGAAGATCATAAAATAACACCGATGGTGAAATTCAATATCAAACGACTGGCCCTGGTCATTAAACCGTGTAAGGTTTAGCGGTATAGAATATGATACGTCACATTATCCGCACACTATGAAATGTAGTCATAGGCCTAGCCGCAGAGGATGTTAGAGAAATTAATATTTATGATGACAGAAATGTTTATTCGTACTACATACTGAACCTATGGGCTGCAAACTTTGATTTTTAACTTGAGACTGCTCGACACTAAATTAGTCATTCCGGTTTTCTTGACTTCGCCCAGTTTTTCCAAACAGTCATACAGGTTGTAAGTGGAAAAGAGTGCAGTAAATTTATCATTTGTAACCTGGGGCTATCAATAACATTTCAGTATATGACCCATAGATTCTGGAAGTTGAATTCAATATTTGGCATCAGTTCTGGTGGAAAAAACAGTGGAAACAGTGGCACTTTGGCTCAGCTAGCTGATCCGTTGTGTCGACCACAAAAGTTCGTGCATGTTGACTCTTAAGGATTTCCAAAGCTTAAGCAAAACTTAAGTACAAGGTAAAGGTTTATGAAAAAAAGAGTGCGTTAGAGCTTTAGAGATCGTCAGATTGTAGGCAGATGGATATCCCTATTACCGCAATACAGGTGAGAAGAAAAAGCATGAGGACGTCACAAATAAAATTCCTTCAGTTTTCAATCCTGACACCAACAACCGGTCGGATAGTCTATAGACTGAAGAACTGTCGTCACTGTCGGTGAAATCGACCACTTATGGAGCCCAGAGGACAGTTAAGAATGTTGTGAATTTTGCAAACAGCAAACTAGTCCAAGACTTTTCAAGGTTTTTGGAGTTTACGTTGCTAGCTTTGCAATAAGTTGTCTGCAAGGTTTTGAAGTTTTAGCGGGATCTTGCCTTCAAGCCAGTTAACAAGTGACTGTGTAAATGTGGTCAATGGTGCAAGCGTAATGAGGCCATTCGACCGTCACAAACAGAAGTACACAAAATGGTTTAGTGTAAGTGTCTGTAACCATGGAGCGATCGATGACCATGGTTTTGTAAGCTGACTGTATAAGATTCACTTGCTTCAATATTTCCCGCGCATTTCTCTATTCGCAACTGATCGATAGATCAGGCTCCGAAAATGCGCTGTCTGTAATTGTGATCACAAAAGTGAAGGAAGGGGTGACGTAAACTTCAGAGAGGGGGGATATTTACGTTCTGATAAAACTGCAGTTGTTCTGAAGGGGAGATCTTTTAACCAATAAGATGCTTTGTCGTCTCTCGAGGACATATGGATGGATAGGCAGACACACACATGGTCTGTATGTAACTTACGTATCCACTTGCATGCCGAAAGGAATAAACGAGTCGTCTTTCAAATATGGGGCCGATAAAAACGTGCATGTTATATCTCTAACACACTCCAGCTTGACGTAATCATGGGTGGTTTTTCGCATTTATGCCACTAAGCGGGAGTCCCATTTTTTCAGCAAGACAACCAAATTCTATTAGATTGGAGGTAGTCAGACTGGTCTACTTTCTGCTTGTGTTTTTGCCCAAATCTCACTGTGAAAATAAGTGTACTCCGTAACGGCGAATATCAAATCTATTTAATGGGGTAACTGATTTCAGGTAGGTATTAAATAAGAAATTGAGCGGATGTGGTATAATCACTGCCATGGATTTCACCTATCAGCCGTTTAGTACACTGCCGGCTGGACAGAAGCGAAGTTATCATTCGAGCGTCCTAGGATTGAGTTTCCACAAACAAATTTTTGACTCCGACTGTGAAATTATCAAAGTCAGAGAATCAAAACGCTGGTCTGAAATAAAGTGATTTGCACATTTTTGGTTCTTAAGCAAAAACTAAATCTTATAACTACATATACCTACATATACCTAAGTCCGGCTACACATAAGACAACTTTCTGAGTGTCCTAGAAGCATTCGCTGGATAGCCCCTTCGTAACATACCCATCTGTTTGTTATGGAAAGAAGTCATTTTTAAAGTGACCACCATCTTTATCTAAATCGTTTTCAGTATATCTGCTGCAAGCAGAAGCAAGAGAAAATTCACAGTCTCGTATGGGTAACAAGGAGTTCAAAGGGAGACATAGGACATAGAAGAATGCATCACATGATATGTCCTAATTAGAGGCTGTTCATTTCCTCTTCAAATGACTGGATAAATCTTGCAAACGGGAGCTCCTTCCTTTTTGACAATAGCGGTAGTTTACATTTACACTCCATTTACCACTCTCACGCATAACGGATCAATCTTTGATTGATATCCACATTAGAACACCACATAAAGTGTGTAAGCCTGTAACGTGTCAGGGTTTTGTGCTTGAAGTAGACGCATTAGAGGAATGAAATTGTATAATGAACGACGATGGGGGGGAGGTTAATTTCCTTACTTGTGATAACAGCTTCCAGGTAAGAACCTTAAAACCAAAATATAAAACATGCCAAACTTTCACCAATTTATCACAAAATAAAACCTCAGCGAATGGATAAAATGTAAGCGGCGAACGCTGCACTCAAACCATACCAGAGTGCTTCTCTGTCGTTAATGTGACAACATCACCACCGTTCCCTTCCTCCTCAATCCGTCCCTCTCCTCACTCTCACTGCCACCCATCAACCCGATAAACACCGCTGTCCCACTTGAAAGCAAGCCATTACATACAAGTAAAACAATAGTAACCTGTTTTGCAAAAAACTCTTTAGACAACATGGATTGGCCAAACAGTGAAAGATTCAGGGAAGTTTTCTCACCTCCCACTCTCTTGAAGCAGATGCCTTATCTTTTCCAGATGTCCTTTTATCTTTCCCCTAAAAAAGCTTTGAATCATGTGTACCAGAATTCATGAAAACGTTCATGAGAATGGATGTGTAAAGAGAACTCCTGTTCATAAGCACAATCACAGTCATATATATATATATATATGCAAGTCTTTGCTTCGTAGTACTCAATGATAATACCAAACAGTTGCGTTCACACTGTCGAAGATTAGGCATTTTATCATAATGTCATAGCGCTTCCATCAGATTTTTGTTGAATTTGGTAAACAATTTTATCTATAGGTATGACTTACGTAATTGTGCTCGATATTCTAACGGATTCTGATGTTTTTTACCGTCGTTCGAAAAATTGGAAATGCCTGCAATTGTCCGAGGCGGACATGGCTGTTAAGAATACCTTAAACTGTTTAGATTTCTCCTGCGAGAACTGTTTCAGTGCCTCTGAAAATCAGCTTCGGGTGATTTTATACAGCTCTTTCTTATAGCAACACATATATTGGCATTCAAGCTATCCACTGGTAACTGAATAACCCTTGTCTGAACTGGCAGACTAATGACCCTCCTAAGAGTTCCATGAAATACATCCTCTACAACTTCCATCACGTCAGTTCTATCTCAGGTATCCTAATTAAGCTTACTTGTGGTGAGATATCAGGCTAAAAAGTGTAAGTTCGAACCGGCTGCTTCAGAATGGCATCTTATGCCAAATCTGTCATTCCTCCTATGAACATTCTACCTTGCAAAATGGTCGCGAATTTTGGTTCGGCTTTGGATGTATCAATAAAAAAAGAAGAGGAAGAAACTGGCGTGGGTCGGGTAACAATCGATTGAAGTAAAATGGGACCCGAATGAAGCGGTCTACCTCGAACATAATAGTTCTGATTCCTACTCACATCTAGTAAAACAATTCGAGTAGGAGCAAAAATGTGTAGCATCACCGTGACACTTGTCCCGCCGGTGGTTCAAACTCATCAGTGAGGGAATAATGTTCCATGCGATTAGCAAAAAACCTACCTTCAGGGTTTTGACGAAAGAGCACTTTTGACTGAT